AAAACTAGTTATTTCTCATTTCAATAGTATGTGTAAATCAAGTCAAGTTATTTTGATTATTCAAATACATGACTCGGTGGAGTAGCGAAACAAAGAACGACAGCCCGATAGGTACCCCTATTAGAGTATAAAGCTACAGTGCGGTATAGAAAATCGAAAAAAACTTTATATGCCAAAAAGGGTTATAAAAAATGTAGGTTAGCTGCCAATTGTTAAAGAGAAATGTCAACCACTACGCTGCTATGACTGAGTCAGTCAGAACACCTTACGGAATATGCGAGCAGTTGAGGTAAAAGGAAGGAGCGCGGCGAAAAGAGGAGTCACCATATCACATAGAGACGACTCTGTCGTTTGAGAGAATACACTGGTTGTTTGTGTTTTAAATTGGATCAAAACCTCTTGACGTTAACATGCATATAGAACTCTAACTGAGCGTGAAAAACTCGATAAATTGAAAAGGATTGAAGAAACTGCTGTAAAGATTCTGGGAGATTGGATGGATTTAGATACACTAAGAGCATACAGTGCCAAGACTAGATAATTTTCCAAGAAGATTTAAAACAAGTAGTAGTAGTTTATTCACAAGTAGGCAAGCCTAATATAAAAACATATAACAGATTACACTTACTCAAGATACAAAATACAATAACAGAGTTACTTACAATCTAATATACAATATAGTACGCGCAACGATACAAACACAGTTTAAAGAAAACACTTTTACTTTGTCCATAACACACAAGTAGGTACTTTTAATGTGATTAACTAAGTGCCTCTTAAAAGTTATTAAATTGTCAATAGATTTCAGTACTTCAGGCAACATATTAAAACTGTTTAATCCCTTATAAAACAGCGTGTTCCAACATTTTTTAACATCTTAGTGAATACTGATGAATATCCTCATTTGTTACTAAGAAACTATTTAAGTATGATGGTTGAATACAATGAACTATTTTGTATATAAAAACCATGCTTAGATAATATATCCGCTTTGATACTGATAACCACATCAATACATCTAACATACTTTGAATTGGTGTATATCTATTACATTTCAGTATAGTTTTCATGTCTTTATTTTGAAGTTTTTGTAACTGTGATAGTTTGTTTTAATTGAACCTGTACATTAGCGTGGCACAGTAATCAAAATGAGATAGGATTATACTGTTATAACAAGTAACTATCGCATACATTGAAAGTGTATTTGTAACCCTAGAGAGAAAATATAGTTTTTTTAATATCTTTTTAATAATGTAGTCACAATGATTGTTCAAAGAAAGACTACAGGTATTATCAACAATAAATCCTAAGTACTTAAACTCAGTAACAATTTCAATAATTTCATCTTCTATTTTGATATTAATTGGATAAGTACTTATTTGTTTGTACTTATAAGTAGTGGTTAATATCATGGCTTTTGTTTTTTTAACATTTATCTTAAGTTTATTCATTCGTAAATATTTTTCAACACCTGCTAAAGCATCATTGATTGATTGAATACATTGATTTAAATCTTTATCAGCAACATACACTAATGTATCATCAGCAAATAAGCCAAGGGAGTAGTTTCTTTCCCTCGATGTAGTTGATATCATTCAAATATATTATGAAAAGTAATGGCCCTAATGCACTCCCTTGTGGAACTCCAAAGTTATTAATTCTTTTATTTGAAGTAAAAGAACCAATTTTAGTTATTCAGGTAGTCCTCAAACCACCCCAAGACAGTACCTGATATTTCATAATATTTTAACTTTTTTAATATATAAGATTTCTATCTATTGTTTCAAATGCTCTTTTTAAATCTAAGAAAACAGTTAGAATATATTTATTTTCATCAATTAACTGATTCCAACTAGTTATTGTATATTGCAGAGCTGTTTCGCAAGAATGTTTTTTTTCTGAAGTCCTATTGTTGTCCAATAAACAAATTGTAATCATTAAAATATTCCGTTATTTGATCATGAATCGCTAATTAGAGAACTTTTTCAAGTGTTGGTAATGTATTAATTGGACGAAAATTGCATGCTCCGATATTATTATTAATTTTAGGAATATGTGTAATTTATTTTACTAATCTTGAAGCGATTTGGAAAAGTCCCCGTCTCCAATGAAGTATTAATGAAATGCAAAATGACATGGCCAATGACATCAAATGAATCCTTCAAAAATTTTGCATGCAATCACTATCTTATTGTCCAATAAAAATATTATTTTCCGCAAATGGCCAAACGTAAATTTTTTAAAGAACTTTGTGTCGACCACAACTGATCACTCTTTATGCTATTTGCTATATCAGCTACACTATTAACAAAAAAGTCGTTGAATTTTTGTGCTATTTTATTTTCAGATGTAATAGTAGGTATAATTTTCATTATTTTCACAAAATATTTGACTGAAATCATGACATATATTTGACTTTACTGGTGACTTTAAAGTTTTCCACAACTCTTTATTGTTGTTTTTGTTATTGTCAATTTTATTTTAGCATATTTACATATTGATTTTTTACAATTTTATAGTATTCCCAAGTGACACATAAATTAACCGTGTACATGAAAGTGTCTTCAACAGATCAGTGTAAATTTAGAAAAAGTTTATATAAGGCAAGTTATTATGGAATCGAAACGACTTAAAGAATCAGGATAGAAATGAGACTAAACCATTATATACTCATACGATATGGGTTGATACTTAAAAAATGATGTATCAAATCCAACACCAAAAATTGTTCTTAGAACAATAAAACAGCTCCAAAACCAATCCAACAGCACAGCCGTCCGAGACTATGGAACCCATAGCCCCAAGCACCCAGATAACGTTGGTTAAAAATTGAAATTTTCACCGAATCCACCCACCGAAACAATCCACAGAGCCATAAACCAAACACACTTAACCAGAACAAACTACATCAAAAAATGCCAATGCTGTTGGTAGAGCTAACGCCGAAAACCGTCGCAGAGTGCCACGAAATTCGAGCTGAAGACAAGCCTTACATAAATCTAAGATTTCTGACAGATCGATCGAAACGATCCAAAATATGGCCCAAATCCAAAAAAAAACAGATGTCAAAAACTGTGGGACTTATTGGAGTCGTCATCCAGAATCAGGATTCGTATATCGGCTCTTGTTTTCTCGGTATAATTAACCAGGACCAAGTCACAGCTCATATTAAGCTGTGACCAAGTTCCTTACAAGTACAAAATTGAGTCCAAGCATTCGCTAGCAATGTATTGTATTGTATTCTTAGTTAAATATTACAAATATTTTTTTATAATCGATAAACACATTTGTTGTAAATTATTACGAGCTCCAGCTCAATCTTAGATCATCAATCTAGGATTAACTACGGACTGCGTGGTAGATACAAAGGTGCTCTTTAGCCCGTAACAAAGTGCTCCTTAACCAAACCCAAAAAGTCAAAAGATTTAAGGCATAAAAATTGAGAAAAGGCTAAGCTGAAAGACCCAGTCCAAAGTTCCATCGACATGGATAGACATCCAGATTTCAGGCTCTGAGATTGAGCTAGAGGGAGGAGCAGCGAAAAGAGGTCAATCAACGCCCATTCCACGATTAGTCTGCTGCATTATTGAGACGACGGGGTAGACAAGACTCCTAACATTGTATTAAAAATATTAACAGTAATACGTGCTGTTTCATAAGATAATTGGGTACCTATAGTAGGATCGTATTCGATGCAAAGTAGAGCAAAAAATTGTAGGTGTTTTATCAAAAGAAAATGGTGTAGTCATTTTTAGGAAGCGTAAGTTGAACCATTTCAAATTTAAAATGAAATTGTATGTAAAATCTGAAATACCGCTTCATACACACTATGTTCTAGTACTAGCTGTAGTCGCCCAGGTGCATCGAGTGTATGAAGTGGTCGGTTATACGTCAAATACTAACCTGGCGAGCTTGGTCGTAAATCAGACACCGCCTCCAAAAAACAAGTAAACAACAGTGGCGCGTACAGAGGTGGAATGTAGTAGATACGTGGAATTTAAAAAACAAATTGGATTTATAATAAATTACATTTAAAATAAATAGTTTATGGGAATAAAGGGATTTTTGTAGGAACAAGGTGCCGGACGTGAACTGATCCCTTCATTCCTTCATAATGCATAAAGAAATTATTTTATTTTTAAACCCGTTAAAACCGTACTGCACTGGATCCTTTGATAGGCAATGATTTATTACTTTGCATTGAATATATGATCCTACTATAATGCACTTGCAACTGTACTTGACAGCTAAAAATTTAAAAAGAGTCCTGTTTGGATTACTATGAAGATATAGTTATTTGAAGATTTTGTAAACAATGCAATTTACCCAGTGGGCATAAATATCCGTATTCAACATTTATTGATAACATAGTGCTAAAACTTCGCCGGATCACTGTGTATTCAATCCCATAAACATAAAATGGCATTAAATAAAATCAGACGTAAACTAATAATAACTGTTAGGTACTCACTTTAAATGCTAGAGTATTGAATTTATTTACAATGAAGTGAACAAAGTCTCTTTGAGTAACTGGAAAAATTGTGTTTCACATGTTAAAACTGTTAAGCATTCATACATTCTTATTACGAATACTGCCCAGATAGGTGATGATACTGGTAGTCAATTTGAATTAAATTAATAAATTTTTATATGTAATATATTATTATGATATGGCTCTTGTATTATTGATAATAATTGTAAAATAAACTTAGGTTTTTTTTGACTAGACACGATGTATCTAATACAGATATAAATAACTAAATAGAAATAAATTCTTAAAATACAATTCTTGTTGATCAGTTTATATTCTTTGCTTGTTTTATGATCTAGTAGCAACTCGACTTGGTAGTTATTCCCTTAAATCAATTAATGTAAACAAGTATTACTCAAAAACATATTTGGAATAATGCTTTATTAGTATTATTAGTAACTACATATTATTACTTCAAACATTCAAGCGTAATTTTTATGCATGTATATATTTCCTTGTCCCTTAACCCCTAATGGTGAATGTCGACATGATGATGCAATGCGTGAAGTTCAACAAAGGGTTCTTCATTGATGTGACCTTGATCATATACATTTTCTAATCCTACGTGTGTAGAATGAGGAATTCCACTGTGAATTGAAACGGGGTTCACAACTTTCGAAGGAAATAATTGCCAAAGGTTTCCATTTTGATGGCCGACTACATAGTGTTGTTTCTGTCCATGGTGTTTTCCCCATACTTGAGGACCTATCACATGATGATGAGGGACATCTACTCTATTATATTCTAATTCATTTTCCCTCGAGTCGTGCTGTGTTAACAGATGCCCTAAATCTTCGTAACTAATTATTTGGTGATGTTTTGAGTTATAAGGATTCAATTTCTCATGTTCAAAATCGTGGAGGCCTAATTCTGGGTGTAAGTGATGTATCAAATCATGATTTTCTGTATCGTAGTGATATTGGGCTGCGTCATGATGCGGGTGTACTAATACATGATGTACTTCGTAGTGCTTCTGAGCGTCGCGATGCTCTTCATCGTGATGTTCGTTGTGGTGTTCCTCCTCCTCGGAACTATGAGCGCCGTTCAGGTCAATGTGGATAACTACTCCGTGATGTTTGTCTTCTTCATCGTGGTGGTGCAAATGTTCAATCTCAGGCAATTCATAATGGATACCAATTTTACCCGGTTCTTCCTGATGTTCCGGTTCCTCTGTACCGTTTTCTAGTCCAGATAAGTTGTGAACAGTACCATGTTGCTTTTCTGCATCTACAACTACTTTGTAGTGTACACCGTTGTGGCCTATTTCGATTTCCTTGTGTAGAATCGACGCACTCATTGCGGCCTCTGTCAAGAATGTTGCTAGTACGACTGCCTGAAAAAAATAATTTGAGTAAATTTATGATTTTTTTGTACTATAAATATATAATTAGTAAAAAATTCTTTTTATTTAAGACTGTTTATAATTAAGGATTATGCATTTCTTGTAGTCAGTGCTAAGCGATATCTAGGTAGCCGCAAGAATTTAGAAGTACGCGTACTTACAGTAATAATTATTTATATACGATTGAACCGTGTAACTGGCAATATTCTTATGAATATTCAAAAAACAGTAATAAACAAATGGCGATGGCAAGGGCATAATTGCAAGGTTCACAAAAAGTTGGCGACAGTGATCTCTATAACCTACGTTGGCCAGAATACGAATGGCTTTTTTTGAATTGTAAAGGTTTTTAAAGTGCTAGTGCAGGGCCACCCTAGATGGAATTAAAGAGGCAAAAATAAACTGATCCTAAAGTATCAGTGCTAATCACCTCTTTCAGTGGCTTTAAAAAAAAACTACTCCAGACAACCTCTTATTCATGGACTCAACATGGTCAGACCAAATCAATTTATCATCAATTGTAAAACCAAGTATTTTAACAATTTTATATTCTACATGCCCTGGAGTAGTGGTAAACGTTATACTCTGGTATTTATCTCTATTAATTTTAAGATTGTTAAATGAAAACCAATTTATGGCTTTAGATAACATATTAGAAGAATCTTCAGTTAGATATGAGGAATCTTTATTCATATTAATTAGGGTAGTGTCATCTGCGAATAGTACACACTTATTAGGAGCGATAGCAAAGCAAAAGTCATTAAGATATATTGCGAAATGCAAGGGCCCCAAAATAGAACCCTGCGAAACACCGTGATCAATACGGTTAAACTTGGAAGTATTGCCATTAACAACAATTTAACAATTTTCTGTAAGGCCTGTATGGTAGATCTACCACGGCGGAAGCCATACTGATTATTTAACAAAAAAACAGTTCGATTCAAAATAACTGGAGAGTCTATTTTTCAAAATTATTTAGGACAAATCAAATTTAATTTAAATGGAACATCTTGTATATTATGTATGTACGTATACGATTATTTCAACAGAACACTTTTTCAGGATTTCTCTGATAAAAACTTGATGAGTCTACCTTCAATAATAACTGTTATAACTTGATTAATGTTTGTATTATATCTAATTTGTATGTGTATTTTACATTTTGATTTTGTATCTTTAGACGTTAGATTTTACTCTTACTCTTACTACAGGACTTTATCCTCACTATTATGTTCATTCGCTTTTTCCCCTTTCTTTCTTTTTTGACTTGTGTAAATACTTANGAATTAAATTAATAAATTTTTATATTTATTATAGCTATGATTACTTTATGCAAAATTATTATAATATAATATGTAATATATTATTATGATATGGCTCTTGTATTATTGATAATAATTGTAAAATAAACTTAGGTTTTTTTTTGACTAGACACGATGTATCTAATACAGATATAAATAACTAAATAGAAATAAATTCTTAAAATACAATTCTTGTTGATCAGTTTAGATTCTTTGCTTGTTTTATGATCTAGTAGCAACTCGACTTGGTAGTTATTCCCTTAAATCTATTAATGTAAACAAGTATTACTCAAAAACATATTTGGAATAATGCTTTATTAGTATTATTAGTAACTACATATTATTACTTCAAACATTCAAGCGTAATTTTTATGCATGTATATATTTCCTTGTCCCTTAACCCCTAATGGTGAATGTCGACATGATGATGCAATGCGTGAAGTTCAACAAAGGGTTCTTCATTGATGTGACCTTGATCATATACATTTTCTAATCCTACGTGTGTATAATGAGGAATTCCACTGTGAATTGAAACGGGGTTCACAACTTTCGAAGGAAATAATTGCCAAAGGTTTCCATTTTGATGGCCGACTACATAGTGTTGTTTCTGTCCATGGTGTTTTCCCCATGCTTGAGGACCTATCACATGACGATGAGGGACATCTACTCTATTATATTCTAATTCATTTTCCCTCGAGTCGTGCTGTGTTAACAGATGCCCTAAATCTTCGTAACTAATTATTTGGTGATGTTTTGAGTTATAAGGATTCAATTTCTCATGTTCAAAATCGTGGAGGCCTAATTCTGGGTGTAAGTGATGTATCAAATCATGATTTTCTGTATCGTAGTGATATTGGGCTGCGTCATGATGCGGGTGTACTAATACATGATGTACTTCGTAGTGCTTCTGAGCGTCGCGATGCTCTTCATCGTGATGTTCGTTGTGGTGTTCCTCCTCCTCGGAACTATGAGCGCCGTTCAGGTCAATGTGGATAACTACTCCGTGATGTTTGTCTTCTTCATCGTGGTGGTGCAAATGTTCAATCTCAGGCAATTCATAATGGATACCAATTTTACCCGGTTCTTCCTGATGTTCCGGTTCCTCTGTACCGTTTTCTAGTCCAGATAAGTTGTGAACAGTACCATGTTGCTTTTCGGCATCTACAACTACTTTGTAGTGTACACCGTTGTGGCCTATTTCGATTTCCTTGTGTAGAATCGACGCACTCATTGCGGCCTCTGTCAAGAATGTTGCTAGTACGACTGCCTGAAAAAAATAATTTGAGTAAATTTAAGATTTTTTTGTACTATAAATATATAATTAGTAAAAAATTCTTTTTATTTAAGACTGTTTATAATTAAGGATTATGCATTTCTCGTAGTCAGTGCTAAGCGATATCTAGGTAGCCGCAAGAATTTAGAAGTACGAGTACTTACAGTAATAATTATGTATATACGATTGAACCGTGTAACTGGCAATATTCTTATGAATATCCAAAAAACAGTAATAAACAAATAGCGATGGCAAGGGCATAATTGCAAGGTTCACAAAAAGTTGGCGACAGTGATCTCTATAACCTACGTTGGCCACAATACGAATAGCTTTCTTTGGATTGTAAAGGTTTTTAATGTATATCTATATGTATATAATAATATTTTACATTTTGATTTTGTATCTTTAGACGTTATATTTTACTCTTACTCTTACTACAGGACTTTATCCTCACTATTATGTTTATTCGCTTTTTTCCCTTTCTTTCTTTTTTGACTTGTGTAAATACTTATGTATACCTAGCACCAATAAACTAAACTAAACTAAACTAAACTATTTTTGAAGTAACTTGTTAGGCGAAGGAATACAGGGTGTTTTGAAAAAATGTACCATAAATTCAGGAGCTGATAGATTAAAATATAAGAAGATTGTTTCCAATGGACCGTTTTTTGTTTTTGAAATACAGGATACAAAATGTTGGTAAATCAAATTTATTTTAGCAACATATTATGTAGAAAATGTAATGCACTCAAATTTAGACAGTTAAGTGTTTGATGTTGCTTCTATTTGGTGACCATTGCTAGAAATCGCTAGTTAGGTATAACATTCCCCAGTGACATTTTAAGACATAACTCTTTTTGAGGTTAGGTTTTTTACAGTTTATGTCATATATCAAAATACAAATTTAATTTTATATAAAAAGATAGTCTTGCTGAAATCACTGAAAATGCACCGTTTCTGACCCAGAGTTTTTAATATCCATAATATCTTCAAATGAATGGGCCATATTTCAATATCTAGATTATCTTTTGCTCGGTTTTGAAAAATTGGTTTTTATTCCTTTTCAACTAACAGATAGCATAACCTTTTAAATAAATAAAATAGTTCTAAGGTAAATTTATCTAAATCGCTTTATTTTCATGTATGATATCATTGTTTCTGGACACCATGTATATTCAGAAATAAAAACTTAGGAACCGTCAACTGAGTTTTTTTTAAACACTACGTTTGCAGCTTTTCAACAAGATCACCTTTTTATGTAAATAAAATTTATGTACCTACTTAATTTATGACGCACACTATAAAAAAACTAACCTCACAAAAGGTAGGTACAGCATTAGAAAAGATCGTAGCTAGCGACCTCCAGCAGATGGTCAAAAACTAACAGTACTACTCCATTTAGCGACCTTCAAGTGTGTGTCAAATTTGAATGTATTCTACTGTTTTTGGAAAAGATTGGCTAAAATTTAAAAAAAACGGTAAATTTTCCCAAAACCAGCCTGGATATATCTTTTAACTAATGAGATTGCGAGAAACAATTTTTCTGCGAGCTACTGGCCCTTTCCAGCATTGAATTACATATTCAATAGTTAAGACTATTCGATAGCAGCATCAGCAGATTTTTATTTACACTCAAAACAAACCTTGTATATAAATTTGCCATCCATTTGTATCAGAAAGTAAAAAGTTTCTATTTACGTCAACAACTGAATGATTTAGCCAGCTTTATTCGGCACCATAATATTTTAATAAAAAAAATGGCTGTACCTTGCATTTTTACTTTTGAGATCAGACTATTATTTTTTGGCAAATGCATAACATCACCTCTTTGACTAGACTTACAGCCAACTAGGAACATACGTAAAAAATATTCAGGGTGATTCACAAATGATGACCAAAAATGAAACCTCGTATTCTTTAGTGAATTTTAAGGGGGGGTCTTTCCTATACAGTTTTTATCTAGGACGCTTCGTTTAAAAGATACAGGGTGTTAAACTTAAAAAAAAAATATTTTTAATTTTTTTAAATAATTTAAAAACTTTTAAGTGAAATAATTTAAAATTGGGCACATGTATTTATGTAACATTGTCCAAAAATCTCATAAAAATGTACATGCTCCAGTGGCGGAGATACAGGGTATCGGTGGCATATTTTGCTAAATAAAACAGTACGCCACTGCTTTACGGTAACAACCATGATGTTTTCGAATTTATTTTTCAGTTTTGTACAAATTACTACTCTCTTATGTTTTTCGAAGAAAGCCTGATTATCGAGTAAAACTTAGGAAACAATTGAGAACACACTTCGATATTCGAATATAATGCTTTTTAAAATTACATATTGAACTGCGATAGCAACTTTGACATTCTGAGCAGTTTGAACAAAGAATAAATAATACTTTTCATCAGATTCAAGCAACAATAAATTTCGAACGAATTAAAATTTTCGTTACTAAAAAGATGTCGGGCCTGTGTTCGTGGAAATGGAAGTATTTTTGAGCATTTACTCAAATAAAATTATTAAAATGATGACTAATGTTATTAATTTCTTTATTCGAATAAATAATCGATTGATTAGTGCTTGTCATGTCATTCAAGTAAAAGTGTTTTCAGTTGGTTCTTTAAGTTTTACTTGAAAATCAGACTTTTTTCGAAAAACATAAAATAGTAGTATTTGTAGAAAATTGAAAGACGAATCCGAAAATATCTTGGTTGTTACCGCAGTGGCGTACTATTTTATTTAGAAAAATATGCAAATGTAAATTTTAGGAAAAGCCCTCAGATTTTGGACAATGTTTACATAAATACCTACATGTGCCCAATTTTAAATTATTTTACTTACTAGTTTTTAAATTATTTAAAAAAATTAAAAATATTTTTTGAAGTTTTCTCTTTCTAACGAAGCGTCCTAGATAAAAAGTTTATAGGAAAGACTACCCTTAAAATGCACCAAAGAATATGAGGTTTCATTTATGGTCATCATTTGTGAATCACCCTGTATACCTCTATAAGGTGTCAACATTTCAGAAAAAAAGTGGTCAAGGTTCTGCTCTTTAAGAATCATAGAAGTGCCCGATTTTTAAGAACATTCTCTACAGAATATTATCTGGAATTATTTATTTCCTAAATATGTATGTAAAATGAGTTTATTAAAAATTACCATTGATTGATTCTTGTGGCACAGGTGTTTATTCATTATTTGTTTTTTAATATTGAGAAAAAAAATACAAAAATTTTATATACAAAATTCCATATGAGAAAGCTTTTAACTGATAACTACAAAATTATTCTTTACCCAAAAATAAAAAAATCAAGTTAGGTTGACATTTATAATCAAAAATTATGTAGATACCAAAACAATGTAAAAACACTTTTGAAATTATTAAATATCGAAAAAGGGCAAATACTTTCTTTTTTATAGATACAGTTCAGTTCAAGTTACGTAGGTATAATATTATTATTTAAGCTGTCTCCAAATATATGAAAAACCCTTTCTCAAAAAAGCTTTATGGACTGAAGAGAGAAATAGTAATACTAACTAACCACTTTATTTTTGCCAAATATGTAAATTAAGTAAAGGGTACCTACCTACCTACCCATTGTTATTTTTAATACCTACCGTATAGGAAGCAAATTTATAAGATAAAAATGGTGACTGACACGCGCTGTTCCAAGCTGTAAATAATTTTATTTTGCTTCTGTAGATAATTTAGAAAGAAAAAAATATGTTTACTTAAATTTTATTACGTATTATGAAAATCGCATTTTCATTGGGCACATTTATTATTATATATAATTTTTGTTGGTATTTTATAACTAAATAAAGATATAAATTTACGTCACAATAAATTAAACTCCGAAGCTTATGTATCTGATACTAGAACAGATATGAACTTGAACTCTTTTAAAGTTCATTTTTATGGTTGCCTAATAATATTTTATAAATAAATTATATTTAAGAAGTACTCGTATACATATAATTGTTTTGGTGTAATATTCAATCGTGCATAGTAATGCCACCTTTGTTGTTTTGTTGTTTAGTTGCATTATACTAATTATTATATATGAACCTTTTCTTAATTTGCCTATACATTATACAATATACATGTTTTACTATTAACACTAATGTTACTGTAATTAAGCTAATTTTAATTAATTCTAATTTGATATCAAGGAAAATTTTTGAAATCAATTTGAACTAGTGTAATATTTTTAATTATAAAATAATATCTGTATATGTATACCTTAATGAATTATGATTATGAATAATTACAGAATATTACGTAAATGTGAGAGTTTTTGTGCATGCTCGTAAATTTATATAAAAATAAAATGTTTTGTAACTCTTTTCTTGGAAAGTGTATTTTGCATCCCACCTATAATTGTTTGAAATAATTTTCTTGTGTCAAAATATTTCGAATTTTGTATTTTAAATAGAACATCTCGCATCTACATTTTAACATGTTCTAGTTTCTCAAGATTACAGTGATTATGTGCACCTTTATAAAAATAAAATGTTATGTAACTCTTTTCTTGGAAAGTGTATTTTGCATCCCCCGTACAATTATTTGAAATAATTTCCTTGTGTCAAAATATTTCGAATTTTGTATTTTAAATAGAACATGTCGCATCTATATTTTAACATGTTCTAGTTTGTCAAGATTACAGTGATATAAAATTTGTAATGTTTGTCATTATATGCACCTTTATAAAAATAAAATGTTTTGTAATTCTTTTGTTGGAAAGTGTACAATTGTTTCAAATAATTTTCTTGTGTCGAAATATTTCGAATTTTGTTTTTTAAATAGAACATGTCATATCTATATTTTAACATGATCTAGTTTCTCAAGATTACAGTGATACAAAATTTGAGAGTTTTATGTCATTATATGCACCTAAGGACTAAAACGATTTTTTTTTAATCCGAAGACTGAAAGTCATTAATAAACACTTTAGTTAGACTTGAATTGCTAACCATGTTAAACCTGTGATATTCAATGTGTACTCTATATTTTTACTTACTTTCAGAAGTAACTGAAATTAAAATTATATAATGTTATTTGAGTTGATTTGGTATGTATCACAAATATCAGTATAGTTATTAAATAAATACATAATAGGTATATATTTTTATTTACATTAAAATATGCGGTAGTTTTTATTATTCACACGAAGTTCAAAAAGTGTTTTAATTATCTTTATTTCAAATAAAGTAGGTACTCAGAATACCAAATATATTATTCCTTAATATTCTTTAAATTTAAACAAAAGTGAGAAAAAGCAAAAATACTTATTGTTTTTGTCTATACTTACGAAAATCAATTTCATTTTGGTAAATTCTTATATACCTATATTTAAAAACACTACAATTTACGAAGATCTCTAGCCTTTGCCAGAAAAAAAACTCAGTTATATCCAGCTATATTGCCTCATTTATATACATATTATTTTTTATTGTTTTTTAAGTTTAAGTTATTTACAGTTAAAATTATCAAAAGGAAAAGATATGTGTTGGCGTTTTTGAACACCTCACAGACAAACCATTTAAAAAACAATATATAAAATATTGATACACAATCGGTCTTAACACTTCTTGTTTTTATTTAATTAGTAAATATATTTTTCAATAACAGTGATAAAGAAATCCTTGTATAGGTTATTTAACTCACAAGGAAAATTTGTCTGCAAAATTAGGAATTTTAAACTTTATGCATTCGTCCTACAAATATTCCTATACTTTATATCTTCAAACTCTAAAAACCTCCCAAAACTGTCCGGTGCAATAGATTTTGGTAGTTTTTCCTATAATTTTAAAATGGTGTTTTCACTATTGTCACAATGGTTAGTCTCTCTGAAATTATTTTGTAGAAGAGGAGGATAAAGAAAAAACTTTGGATCACACATCTTGTTCATTTTGTTTAAAAATTGTTAATAAAACCATTAAGATTATTTCTCGGAGGGGTCGTTCAAATTAGGTTAATATATCCATTTTTCGATAATTTGCTATTTTAGTTATTAATTACTTAATTATCAGATACTTAATATTTTTTATACCATACAAACAACTGATTACTCATATAGAGTAAAGAGAACCAAACAAGTACATACGTATCATCATATCAGTATCAGTATAGGAACATTTATAGGTTTTATATATTTTTTCTGCGAATTTCTCTCAAAAATTGTAATTTAGTAGATTGCTTGGTACGATTAAGGTACCTAATTGCTTATATTTTATATTACATGATCTGATGTCTATGTTCACATAGCGAACTTTCATTACGAAAAAGTTTCGAGCGAAATTTGCGAAATGAAAACACCCTGAGATCTCGAAAAAGATTGACAAATATTTGCAAAATATATATGTTCTTCATTATCAATTGATAATACTAATATGATGTTTTATAATTTCCATAAAATTCAGTTTCCTTGTAGTTACTTATACCTACTTCAATTTTGATTTGATATGTACCTCCTGACACGCCATTTGCCAAATTTCAAAACGATGAAAAAATTTGGGGAAATAAAAAATTAATGTGGAAAAGGGTTGAACATACAATGTATCCCAGATGTGCTAATATTTCATCATCATACATTTAGTTCATCAAAAGCACCAATTATTGTTTATTTTTTTAAATCCCTTCATTATTAAGACCAAAAATGTTGCTTTTGATGAGTTCAATATGTGATTAAAACTTTGGCACCTATTTTTGGGACACCGTGTATATGTGCAAAATATGTTTATTCATAATCAACACATGGATTTTAATAGCTATTGAAATTCTAATTTAATATTCATTCTGTTTCTCAAACATACTACTTATAATAATTTAATTTTTTAATGGAATAAAATATTGTGAAAAATATGAAAACGTTTATTTGTAAGCATCAGTTAATTGTAGCGGAAAAAAATATGTTGCACCATGTCTCACGAGAAGATGAAATTTGAGAACTAATTTTTTTATTTCTCTTTGGTTCTCCGTAGTCTTCAATTGAGCAAAAGTTAAAACACAACCTTCTTAATTTAGAAATCTGGAGAACACATCCCCGCATATTATTATGTAGGGATAAATCATTGGATATAAGTACTTATATTTAGGTAAGAATTTTTAGGAGAATGTGAATGCCAGTGGATCTTTTGGGAGTCGAAAAGAATCAAAAGGCTCCAACAGAAAGAATGATAAAAAGGTAAAGTGAGCCCTGTACAGATAATATTGCATAGCCTTCGATCCTAATAGAAAATTGGGCTCTGAATTTATCCGAGGGTGCATACAGTCGTAGGTACTCGGTATAATGTCTATAAGATCAAATGAGGTTTACAATGCTTGACTTACTCAAGACTAGACCATTATACTTAGATAGGTACTTGAAATGTCTATGAATGAAGCAACTAGAATCTGACAATAAGCAAAAGGCAAGATTATATTAAGAACGCCCTTATACAAGGTGTCTCATAATTAGCTGCCAACCCTGAACAGGCCGATTCTATGATCAAAACTAAGTAAAAAAGTTCATATGAACATGGGTCCGGAAATGCTTCCTAAGGCACAGGGACCCATTGAAGAGGGAGGAATGGAAATATTTTTTTTGCAATATCTCTCAAATCGTTATCTTTAACAGTTTCTGTGAAAATCGCTCTTGAATTAATCCCACTTTGGTCAATTTCATAGTAATTTAAACAAAAAATAATAATAATAATTTTACTTTCCTCTCTTTTCCATTTAAAGGATTAATTTTTATTTAATTTAATTTTTTATTATTATTTTTTTATTAAAATTAGATTAAATTTAAACAAAAAAATTTTTTTTGTTTAAATTACTATGAAATTGACCAAAGTGGGATTAATTCAAGAGCGATTTTCTCAGAAACCGTTAAAGATAACGATTTGAAACAAGAGTACCTTTTTAACGTAAAACAGTTCGGGAAAACGGAATTTGCTGTCCAATTTGTTAAAAAGTCAAAGATGAAAAAGTTACACACGCAAAGTACCAAGGGCCCCCCCGTACCCACCCCAATGGACCTTGTGGAAATAAATGGATTAGTCCATCAAATTGCTCATCAAAATTTAGCTGTGTATACCAAATTTCATTCATTTATCACAACGCGACTGAGAGATATTGCAAAAAAATTATTTCCATTCCTCCCTCTTCAATGGGTCCCTGTGCCCTTTGGAAGCATTTCCGGACCCATCTTCATATGAACTTTTTTTGCTTAGTTTTGATCATAGAATCGGCCTGTTCAGGGTTGGCAGCTAATTATGAGACACCCTGTATTTATGATGAAATAAGAACTGAAATTCTGTAAAAAATATAAGCGAATTCAATTAGTGACGAAGGAATTTTTGCTAATTCTGAAAATGTAATTGCTTTGACTATCGTGTCAAAAAGTGACATCTGTGCATACATATTAACAGCATTTTTTTTTAATCAGACAAAACGTTTTTCAGTTATTTGGCAAAAACTAACATTTTTTCACAACTTTCATGAACTTGAACTAATGGTAAACGAAGAAACTTTTGATAGAAGGAAGTTTACTAATGAATCATCATATTTTGATCCCTAGAAAGTTTCATTCATACGAAATATTAGGTCGTCCTGTATATATTAATGATAGTGCAGTTTTGGCATCGATTGTCGGTCCATGAACCACACAGCGATTCACTATAACTGATGGCTCTTAATATGTAATTCCTATGTTCAACTGATGCTTAACAATGAATACCGCAATTCCAGTGGCTGCGGGTAAATTAATATGCTGAACATAACAGTTTTTGTTAGATTCACGAAGATTTAGAAACATGGTTACACAACGTGTGGTTCAGCGAACCAGGGAAATGGACCGTGGTCTTTTGAAATTAATCGGCAGTCAACGAAACTTCACTAGAAACCACATAGGTACTGAATCAAATGTTTATACGTCCTTTCAGTCATTCTTGTTACAAAACTGTTAATTAACCACACGCCGTGTCACCACTATTGGTTCGAAATAAACCAGACCACAATGAACCACGATCTCTTTCCTGATACAGAAGAACGCGCCGTTAGACTAATACTTCAACTATCTTTCTGATAGAATAAACTGTAAACTTCATAAATATATACTTTATCTGATGCAACATTTGTTATACATTAATCATACAGTTCCTACCATTAGCCAAAATGTAAGGCAAAATATACGCAATGCCTGCCTCCAGCAGACAGTTATTATTTTTACAAAATATAAACAAGAGTTTGCACATCAACACCAAGAGAGATCTAAACAACCTACATAATTATATTTAAACATCTAAGTTAGAATTGGATTTTGATTTGACAAATGTTGTTTCTTTGAATTTCTCTCCAAAATTGTATCTAGAGATATTGCTTATTAAACGTATTCAACCAATGTTTTGATCTTATCATTTTACAAATTAATGTTACATTAAAAGAGATTGTATCTAGTGACACATGGTTGCTTCATATCTTTATAATTAAAGAAAAATAATAAATTAAATTCTCTGTGGTGGCGAAGTGAATACAAATTAACCGGCATTTCTTTAGTTGAATTAATAGAAAATACAGGTTAAGGACATAATTACTGGACAAAAGTATTCACATGAGAGGATTCTGATCAGTTCTTATGGGTGGTAAACCGAAAAGGAACAAAAATTCACCCATTACAAAAAATGATGAAAAGGTACATTGAACCCCTGTAGAAGGAATCATTATCCCGTAACAGAGCACTATATCTCTGAAAGTTCCACAGCCTTGAGACTTGTACGGAATTCTCAATTTTTTTATTCAAAACTTATTCCAGAACCCTTTCCACTAGTTTGTGCAGCTCGTTTATACTGAAGTGCGCTTTCAAACCATACGAAAATGAATTCTGCCTAGCGCGAGCAACATTACAGTTTTGATGCCCGAACAAAATACAAGTTGTTCTAGTAACTTTTAAGCTGATTCACTCAATCTCTTACTTGGCCCTGTATATGATTTTTGGCACCATTTTCTTAAACAACATCAACACCAAACTTCTTTAATATCCTTATCAGAGTTAACCATAGACAAGATAATACTTCTCTTTTAACTTATTGTCCCGCCATCGCTAGCACTTTCATTCGATCGTCTACTTTATTTTTGTTTCCCTGTATAGATAGAGTGGTTTATAACAGGTGTAAAAAACATTGGGATCTTGTTTGAAAAGTTATTTTGAGAAAAAATATAGGTCCTATTTTTATTTGCAGAACAATTTTAAAAAATAAATGCCTAATTGTAATATCACCACTAAGTTCGAATTCAGTTGCTACAAATTGATCCCAAAGAAAGGAATCTGTAGGTTTTAAGTTGGGAGATCTTGGCGGTCAAGCAATAAAACCCCCACAACCAGTCCATCGTTTAGGAAAATGCGCGTGCAACAATTACTTG